ATGTTAACAAGGCATGCGCTTTCGTTTGTCTTGCCATTTTGGAACCATCTCCAAAGATGAATCGCATTTTCCCAAAATTAAAAACTAAAAACAAATCAGAAATTTTATCTCTTTCCCTCTACTACGTCATATTTGCTCGGAGTAATAGTAATTAAATGAACTAGTTAATTATGGTTTATGTCAAACCAAGGTACTTGCATACTAGATGAACCTGTTCTAGACAATAATAGTTATGGAAGTATAGTTTCGAGACTACCAGTAAATCAGTAATATGAAATATATTCACCTTATATTATTCAAGTTGATAAAGGAATGGTAGTATAATTTTCCAACAATGATATGAGTGTAGCTGACGTTTCCAAAAGTTTCCCAAAAAGTTGTTCTCTTCCAGGGTGGACTGCAGTTTCGGCCTCACATCGGTCTTATCAACACCCCCAACGGAAGTCGAACCGTAACAGTGTAGAATGTGAAATAGACACGTTAACGTTCGACTCCTGCTGGGGGTGTTGATAAGACCGATGCGAGGTGGAAACTGTAGTCCACTCTGGATGAGAACAACTCTTGGCAAAGCAAAGCTATGTGAAATTCAATGGAAACGTTAGCTCTACTCATATCATTGTGGGAAAATTCTTCTACCAGTCCTCCATCATCTTAAACGAACTTGGGTAAATACATCTCATATAACAGTTATGTAAGTTGGTTGACCTTGTTTTCACAACTTGGTCATGTTGGTAGGATAAGTTAGAGGAACACACCTAGTTCGGAGTCCATTGTATGCATGCTCATTTCCAGAGTCGGACCGTGGACCTGGTACATTCCCAGACGTTTCGCAGGCATCGTAGTCGGCATCGTCAGTGAGTCTTGCCAGTCTTAGCACCACACGACAACTCGTCAAAGAGACAAGTGAAGCCGATCCTTTGACCAATTGTTTGCTAAACAATCGTGGTATCTCTCCTTTCGCCCTGGGCTAATCCTCAATCCATTGAGCGAGATGACATACGAAAACTCACCAGGTTGCCATGGCAACCAAGGGAGGATGGCTTAAGGACTGTGTCTGCTTGTACAGTTCAGTTAAAGCATGCTGAGGGGCATCAGTCGTGGAATTTCATTGGGATCAAAGTCCATTCTTAAATGCAGTGTCATGGCAGACTTTTGCCTTGTCATCGGAACGGGAGAGTAATTAACTTGTTGCCCTTTTATTGGCACTAACCATCTTAATCATTGCGATCCTATTTACAACCGCGAAGCTCAAACGTGGCTTAGTTTATTTGTCACGGCCGAGCCAATAGTCCATAGGTATTTCACTGCAGGCTCTGGAGCGAATTCGAGAGAGCATGAGGTCATAGTTTAAAATAGTATCAAAGCCAATTTCCAGAATCCTACATATACTGATCTGTTGGGATGGGGATTACTCAAAGGAGCCTTGACGAAAGAAAGGTTTACTATTCGACACAAACCCAGAGCTGGCACAAATCACTCAAATTGACAGATCTGGATATTTGTGAAATGAACTCCTACACCTCCCTGGTTATCAGGCATCTCGAGTGGGCAAGCTCCTAAAATCACGAGCACAATGGAACAATGAAATACTAAACATGTTCCTTACGTTTGACCAAGTGGCCTCGGGGCCGAACGGCGATTCGGCACAGGCTCGACCTGGCCGCTCGGACATCTTCGATTTTGGAGTTTCGAGGCCAACGTTCAGGTCCGAAGTTTGGCGAGACGAGTGGTTATTCGGAGAGGCAGAAGCGGCTGCTATCAGCGACTTTAAAGCCGACGAACAGGTCGAGTCAAACGCCTGACAATGGATGAGGCAGCTAGAAGCAATCTTAGAAATTTTTTCAACAGAACACCTCACCAATCCTGCGTCAAGCCACTTTGAAGGCCGGCCAGCAGCTTATGGTAGTGGGTGGTGAGGCGGAAATCCTGGATGACCCAGTCTTCTGCGTTTGGAAACTCTGACCTATAAAAAGGAAGTGAGACAGCGCGCAACAAGAATTAGTCTAGTGGGAACCTAGGAACATAAGCAAATAGTCAAGCAGGGGTGAGTATCGTGGTACATGTTAAAAGACAGGTGTATCGTTTGAGGCAACCGAGGCCTCGTGACCCCCATAACCTGGTATGGATGGATAACCAATATCGTACAGGTCCAGTCATCCCGAAACACCTCTCTAAGCACAAGGAGGTATCCCTTGATAAGTGGGGACTGTAAATTTCTTCATTTTTTATATGAAAAGTAACGACTAAGATTGAGAATCACTCAAAAAGTGGTTAAGCTCCTCAAAACAGAGGCACTGCGAAGAAAAAAGACTTTACCCAGAGTCCGACATAAGCGACGGTCCGAGGCATTTTATGCTATTTTTAAAAAATAAGTAAGCATTCAGAGGTTTAGCTTATAAAAGAGAAGACCTTCAACATGCCCACATTTACACAGGTGGTATAATATGCAATAAATTTATGCGTACTACTAACGAGCACCTAAGTAGGTCATCGCTAAATCGAAGAAAATTAGCCTGATTTACTTTAGTCAAAAGCCTATCTAAATTGGCAAATACATAAAACTTTGCCCCACCTCGAGTTGAGGATTAGAGTGCACCAAGAGCCCATAACTATGAATGTATGAGATGAAAGGAAAATATATCGGATGACTTTAAATCTATGAAATGTATTCACGCAATTTTGTTTAATGTGATGGAGGACTGCTAGAAGAATTTTTCCACAATTATATGAGTTGAGCTGACGTTTTCATTGAATTTCATATAGCTTTGCTTTCCCAAAATTGTTCTTATCCAGGGTGGACTTCAGTTTCGACCTCGTATCAGTCTTATCAACACCCCCAGCGGAAAAGCAGGGCTATGTGAAATTCAATGGAAACGTCAGCTCTACTCATATCATTGTGGTAAAA